AATATACCAAGAAGAGACTGGTCTAAACTGGCTAGCGCTTGCAGGAGAAATTTTGCAGAGCGTTTTCACTCGTGATTTAATGCGGATGCATGACCATGCGCCTTCAACTAGGTGAGTCCATTAAAATTAATGTGGTTAGCATACAATGTCAAAGAATTACAGAGCTATTGATTTTGTGTATTTATTCACCACTAAAAGCTGTGCTCTTACCTATCCTAAAGAAAACGGTAGACTATGCTTTGAAGAAAGTGTTCGACGCCTACACTTACACAGCACGCTTTACAAGAAGCTGTTCTCTCACCTTTCCTTTTCTCACTTTCCTACTTGATCTGCTTTTTTCTGCGGGAGACACTTTTTTTAATAATACAGATTATCTCACTGAATTTTCGCAAATGTATACTCCTTCAAATCCACTTAAAATAAAAGAATTCTTGTGGCTCAGTAAACGGTGGCCTATCGATAATTGTTTCACTCTTGTTCCTTCTAAATGTCAAACTCTTACTTTTAATATGAGACATTTACAACATTTAAATACCCAGTTTGTACTATTAGAAATTCCGTAATAAGTACTGTGTCAAAGGTCGTTTATCTTGGTTTAAGTTTCCCCACTGTTATCGGGTGATCTTATCCGCAACGCAACCATGTAAACTTAATGTATCGGTCATCTGTGCATTCAAGTAACCACAGATTTTGTCATTTCATAATGTATTTTTAATTAAATAACTAGATTATATAGCTAATTTTGATCTTTTTTTTATATTTTTATTCGCCACGTTCGACTGCGTTACGCTGCACGTCCATTGCGTGCTGGGATGATATCTCAAGTTATAGTGAGTTTATTCACATAGTTGATTGTTTCCAGATAGACTGTCAGTGCATGATTTTACTGTAGAAAGGTTTATTGTACTATAAACTATGTTTTTATGAACAACTGCCTGTTGTCTTCAGTCGGAAAGCAATATATATATTCTTTAAAGACAATTGTCTTCCGTTCGGTAAGTTCAATTGGCCTACATTTCGTGTTTTTGTTTTATAGTCTTAATTATGTCCATTTAACTACTTTAAGCAATATGCCTGTGCAAATGAAACAATAACTATGACACTTGCTTAGTTTAGTATTCTTGGTTGTCGTATAATTCAGTTAAGTTGAAAGAATTATGGTATACTTAAGTATAGTGCTTGAAGCCTGTAACGAAACAGATCAGTCTAGTAAGTAGAGTTGCCTGTTTTTGATGAGTATACTGATTCAAATCAGTCTGATTAAAAATAGGAAAAAAGTGCTTTCGGTACTGTTGCTGTCATACATTATAAGATAGCGATAAGTATGTTTGGTGTTTATTTCTAGATTGTACATCTATCACTGACCATATTTCATGATCACTGTCATTAAACAATTTCCCCAGCAATAACATCGGTAGCAGGATAGCTAAGTATCTGAGCTTTTATTTGCCCGTAGAAGAGCAGTATACAGTCTTAGAAGATGAGTGTTCTGTATCTCAATAAAATGCAGTTGGCTGTAGACAAATGTTAAGAATCTTTTTGACAACTAGGACTTTTAGTTCATCAAACACTAACTCTGCTTGTATGTCTCCCTGTTAAACTAGATGCAGATACATGGTAATACTTAAATGAGAGCAAAATAATAAAAGCATTGAGATACGGTATTAAGTTCATGTTATGCTTTGCACAAGTAATAGCTGACCTGACCCAATATCCATGAAGTAAAGGTAAATCACAACTGCATAAATTCTTTGCTAAAAAACATGTAATTTGGTTATTTATCTATTCCACATTTCTGACTAAATTCACTACTGTTTTCTCATTTAGAATGCAACAGGACTGAGTCTTCATAGATCCTAAGAACTGTTTCGCCCTTAGAACTATGGCCCTATGGATCTGTTTACGGGAGACCCAACTAACAGCAGATTATAAAAAGGATGCTGGATGTTCATTTTAGTCTCACGACCACTTCCAGTACTTTTTGAGTTACTTCTTTTACCCTTTCGTTTGGAAAAAAAACAACAAAAGCTTGAGCTTAACATTACGAATGCAACTTTTAGACTGGAACTTGGTTTAAACCTTTGTTTCATATTCGATTCTTAATGAAAGTTCTCGAGTAAATTTTTGAACCTAATGCTACTTTGTTTTATCTACTTAATCGTTGCAAGAAACTTGTGATAATCGAGCCTCTCATCACCTAATTCATCTGTTCAGGCTTCCCTGTCTAGTAGCAGGGGATCACCAAAACCTCCAAGCAGGAACCTAGGTATGTTAACAATAAAAGATCCAGTCGCCTCCCAAAGGACTCCTGGGAAGTCGCTTGGACTAGTTCGGCAGGCAGCGAATTCCAGCATCTGACAACTCTTAAGGAGTAGAAGTTGCGTCTACAGTCCATTGTGCTATGTCGTGTCTCTAGTTTCTGGGACTAAGCTCAAGTAGGTTTTTAAGAGAATGTCCAGAAGTGTTAAGGATCCTGTAAGTAAATAGGTCACCTCTAAGACGTCTATACTTTAATGAGTAGAGGTTAAGTGATTAGAGGCGCTCTTTATAAGGTGATTTGGTGCATATATCCGTCATTTTCTTGGGAAACCTACAGGCTCGGGTCCTCTCACAACTTATTCTAGCCACCATGAGTTGCCACGAAAACTGATGGATGGACACGCGTTACACATCCTAACCGTCCCTGCGTCTAATCCCATAGCTTCTTATTCAAATGTCATATGATAAGCAAGTAATGCTTCTACCGACACTAATGGAACACGAGTAATTTAAAGGCACCCTGTATAGTACTTTAGATTGGTCTACGCACTCACTTAGCTTTTTATTGAGAATATTACTACAGTCCTGCTAAAAATCCCATGAATCCACCTACCGCCATCAAAACAATAAGTCTGTATTTGCTGCATATAGCAATTTTATTTTTCAGAAGATATATAACAGTTAGAATTGGAGTAAAATAGCAATATACAGCAGATGCACGAGGTACATGTCTTCATCGATCAACTGAAATAGAGAATACGGATATTAGTTTAACATGCTTATCTAGAAAGACTAGTGTTTACTTTGAACTTACTGCGTGAGAATGTTATACTGGAACTGTGAATAATGTAGGAATCTAGTCTCCAAGGGCGTACGAACTGGAAGACAGTTGTCCTAAAATAATTCGAATATGAAGGTGAGAATTTGCAGGTACTTTTCATCGTGAGGGTGAACATATTAGATAACGGTTGACATCATACCGTAAAAAACACACAAATTTGCGAGTGGTGAATTATGGTCTATAAAAAGCTGAGCTTAATAACAGTTAGTTACCTTTTTACTTTCTGATCATGACCCTTCGACTTCCTTTTGTGGCCAAAACATACACTACACACTGATAGCAGATTTCCGGCTTTTCAATGTTAAGCTTGCTTTAACGCACTACGTTATGCGTATAACCCCTCCATTACTGCTATGTGGCATATTTTTTCATAACAAACCCTCTGCAATAGATTGGTAGCATCTTTGACTTCGTCTATGGTTGTCGGAAGCCGGGATACTTTCGAAAACAATACTGACATCCCCTACGGCTAGGCACTAAGTATTAGTTTGACTCGTTGTGGGATACTTTTGTCCGCAATACTGAAGTAAATTAAAAACCGGAAATTGTTTCCTTTCATTTTGCCGATAACATCATAAAGGACGGTTAGGAATGAACATGCGGACAGTTAGTCACAGGAGGCAGCAAGTTATTTCAGCTAGGAAAAAACGAACTTCGGCTTTGGATATTTAGAAAACAAGTCAAAACCAAACCGATTTCCATTTTAAAAAATAAGACTAACCAGCTTGACTGAAGAAATACATTGACTAGAGTAGAAGCAGCAAAAAACCAAAAAAATGCTGATTCGAAGTAAATTTCACACCAACATGTAGAACATTACACTAACTGCGGCATCTTAGCACATTGAAACATTAATTACATAGCTACACAAAAGAAATAGCTAAAAGAAGCACAGAACGAAGAAAGCCGGCCACCATTACGTACAAAGATGGCTGATATAATAATTCCCGCCACATTCTGATTGGTTGCTAAGCTGAAGAGCACATTTACGAAATTGAGTTGCGTTTAATTGCAGGCCTGATATCTATTGGCCTTCTAATTTTTGATTAATAGCAAAGAACGTTTTTCGTCTGATGTATTATATGAAAAGCTAAATTGAAGTAAGTTTAACATCATGCTAAATGTTAGCATATGTAAAGAATAGTCCTACCCCAAAATTTTATGCACTGGTCAGTGAGTATATTTTAAACAATCAGTACGATTTTTACAACTTTAGAAATTCTTTCGTTACGATAAGCAAGTCTAAGAAATATCTGAGAAGTAAAAAAAGGAGAAATCAACTAATCAGATAAAGCATGATACTTTAGTACTGAATTGAAATTTAAAAATCTTAGGTTACTGTGAATCTTCTAGTTATTCTTTCTAATAGTTTTGTAGTTCTTAGTTAGAAATTTAGACAATGTCACCGAATAAATACTGTTGTTCAGTAAACCAGTAGTTTTACGTTTGAATATTTTATATTTATGAAAACTGTTTAAAACTAAAATTATACTGAATGGGGTGAGACTAGAATTTATGGACGACCTTTGAGGAAGTGCACCAACCGACCCAGTTATTTTCAACATCTCATTAGCCTTAGCGGTTTGGTGTCTGACGAAATATTGACACTCAGAAAAGTCTCGTAGGTTCTAGCAGCATACGTCACTTGTGTTGGCGAACCAAGGGACAAGTGCAATAAACAGCAATCCACTTCACATAGCAATGTATTCTTTGAATGTATTCTTAGTTTCGGTTCCTAGTCAACACTCTCCACATTTGTACATCTTACGAACGACATATTATATTCCATTGTTTTTTTATCGACATTTATTTACAGGAAGACGGAGTGGTTACTGAAGACTTTACAGTTCCTATATCTGATGAATCTATTACTGAAAACTATAATTATATTAGCAAAAATATGGAAACCCTACGCAATTCTCCACTTCAACAACTACCAAATTTTTTCTCCTCTGGAAATTCAACTTTGCTCCATATTAACGACGGAACCAATTTACACAACGATCTTCCGTTACTTTGTTCAACCGCCTCCAATCTTTCAGCTGAAGTTACGAAACATTTATCAAGTATTCATGCCCCATCATCTATTGATAGTTGTGAAGCTGATGAAGTTGGAGATAATGAAGAGCATGTCGGTGTTGAAGGTGATAATGATGAACTAAAAAAGCCAAACACAGACATGAATTTTAACAATAGGCCTTTCACCTCTAACCTACCTCCTGATATAGCAGATTCTAAACAGGAAAGTGTCACTGAGACGGCTGCAGAAGAATATGTACAACTATACTTTAATGAACAAGCATTTGTCACTGCTTATATGAAAAATGAATAATTTAATCCTAATAACGATACTACAAATGATGAACTAAACGGTGTCCTGGAAAAGTTGCGTCGTTTCGCCAATTATCGTGTCCCCATTCATAGTCGCGCGAATCAGCGTCCTGTTGCTGGTTGTCCGGAATGCTTGAATCAATTTAATCATGGATTCACAGACCTCAAGAAACATCTTCCAGTAACTCATCTTGGCGTTCGCCGTGATATATCGCGTTTTACTATTGATTTCACTCATTCCCGTAGGAGCCATCATAACACATTACCTAGTCAAACTAATAACTCACTTATTAACTCTGACAATTCACCGCAGTCAAAACACTTTTTCGGAATTCGAAATGACCGTCTCTCTGGTGAAGCGTTCCGTCGTAAAACTTTTCCAATACCTTAGTCACAATAGTTACTGCCCAGTGCAATACAAATGAGGTTCGATGAGCGGTCTGTTTAATAGGATTAATCGTATTCGCACAAACGACGCTATCGATGACGACGTTCGGTTGCTAAACAAAACATTAGTGGAAACTGGCTATCCCTTAAAATTCATAAATAGATGGAAAGGTCACGGTATACTGAGGCCTACTATAACCTTTGCAGAAAGGAACCTGTCTACATCATTTTTCGGTTTGGAGGTGATTCAATTAACTTTTTTCTGAATAAAAGCTTAAATAAGTTGTTAACAGGACGTATTACGCAGCAAAGGTCTTGATGAAAGAGAAAACAATGTCCATGTCTCAGCGAAAACGTAAAACACACGGAAATGATTGCGTCACATGCCACTGTGTTTATCGATTTGAATGTGTGTATGGCCACATATACATGTGGAGGAGTAATCGTGATCTCCAAATTAGGGTGTGCGAACATGTACCTAAGTGGTTGCAAAAACAAATAAAATCAAGTGATCCAATAAGAGTAGATGATGAACATCCATTCATGGAGGAAATTCACTGAGTAAGTTAACATTCGTAATAATAATAATACCACTACGGCTACTATTAGAACTACTGCTATTTCAAAAACTACTACTAACAATACTACTCCGACTACTACTACTACTACTACTACTACTACTACTACTACCAATACTAATACTACGACGACAACTACTACTACTACTACTACCATACTACTACTTTTACTACTACTACTTCTATTTTTTTACTATTGCTGCTTCTGTTTATCCGAGATCAAATACTGTCGTGAACGCTCAGTAGTCGAGATTTCTTAGAATCTGTGCTCTGAATTGTTCGACTTCCTGGAATTTATTAGTCATGAGAATTCCATGCGATTTACATTCATCGCACAGTAACACGTACGATACCCCATACACTATCGACCGGTAAAACAATCAAAAACACAAATGTGAGTAGTTAGAAAATTTATTTTCATATTTTATATTGCAAAATGGACATGACGTCCAGGCTTTTTGATTGCTTGACCTGGACGTTTTAAACATGTTCTGGTTTTACACAGCTTGACATTATTGTTTGACATATTTTGCTTTAATGATGTGGATTCGCCATGTAAAACCGTGTTTTTTCCTTTCATTTGTTCATGATAATGAGTAGGTTGTTTTTGAGAATAGTGGTAATAATAATAATTACAACAATTGTAGTAACAATAATAATGGTAATTGTAGCAATAGAAATAGTAATCACATTTGCAGTATTGGTAGCAGTAGTAGTAGTAGTTGCAGCAGTAGTGGTGGTAATAACAGTCCTTGAGACATGTTTGTGCGGAATCCATATTGTTGTTCATCGATATAATAATATTTTTGCGAGCGTTCACAGTGACACCGCTCGGCAAGTGCGTTTTTACAAACTGATTATCATCGCTCTAGACTGATATTATATAGACTTGACATACGTTTAGACTATTCCCATTCAAATTTGAATAGAAAAAGTCAATCGAGTCACGTGGCTGTAAATCAATCAAGAATGTATGTTTGAAATCAATGTGATTTATGAAAACGATGATGAAAGTAAGGAGTAAAATGACGGAAAACGTTAGTCAGTCAGCCATTTACCATAGTCATGAAGACTGATTTGGTGAGCATGATCTCATTCTGGAATAAGAATGAAAAACGTAAGTTTGCATTAAGCAAATGGCCAGAGTAGAAGTGGACACTGTACAACCATCTTGGGATAAGAAGGATGACCATGTTTGCTCACGCACTGCTTTTGGACTGACATTTTCACGAGAACTAAATTTAACATCAACTAGACGGGAATTCGCTCGACCTTGAGGATGCAGTATAGTCGTCCATAATAAGAATAATAGTAGGTCAGATGACCTGTGTTAATCCTGGATGTATGCTAACCAGTGAAGATTCAGTTTTCCTGGTAGACGTCTTCATATCTGTGTATGTTTTCTAATTTCGGTCCGTGTGTATATTGTTATTAATATTATTATTATTATTATTGTTGTTGTTGTTGTCACTTTGACCAAGGCACCTGTGGATGTGTCCGATTCTGTGAGAGTATTTTCGTGGGGTGTTTCTCAACTCAGTGGCATCTGCCACACTGTTTTGGCAGTTTCTGTCGAGGTGAGAAAGTCCATCTATCAGTACAGTTATCCGCGCGATTTTGAACAAGTGAGTGAGGGCTATCGACCATCTACGGGAATTATAATTCAGAGTATGTGTAATCGGATGATAGTGGTTGTTGATTGAACTGCTCATTCAGTTGATAGCGGACACGTGTAACGAGTGGAAGCTAATGAAGTAAGTGATTTTAATTTTAGTTCTGTTTTGTGTTTAACTAAATTTTATGGTGTAGATAATTGTGAAGTTGAGACAGGTAGTCGCAATTTGGACATCAATGATTCTCTGAATAATGATGACTCTGTAGATAAATGCTGATTTCAGATAAGAGAAGAAAGCGAGAATGTGAATTTTGAACAATTGAGAGGATCTGACAATTACAATGAACTAAGAGCACATTATAGACACGTGGACAGATAAACAGTCTGTGTCAGTTGATGCAATGGAACAATATAAATACCGTACAGTTGAATGTTTTGTGTTGTCTTTTAATCTGTCATAATTATCCAATACAGTTTTGTTTTGACTAATTAGAATTGTACTTTTTGATTGGGTGTTGTGGAAGTTCTAGGCTATTTGAGATTGTTGGTAATTCGTTAGACCGTTTCGAATCCACAGACAATCATATTAGTAATGAAAGTGGATAAAAGCGAAATACTTATTGAATTCCAGTAGAAATAACTAAAGTTTGATGAATATTTATCCGTGTCACGTTCGAATTTGTTTGTTTAGCAGAGGGCATGAATTAGTTTTTAAGTGGATGTGGGATTTCACCTGTTCTTACTTGACTAATTGACATCCAGTGTCGGATACTGGATCAACTGAGTACACTAACCCCTACGTCTTTAAATAATCAAAGCTGAGACCAATGTAAACTGTTGGTTATAGCGCACCAATTGCTTAATCGTGAAGCAAAGCAGAGAAGCATATTAACTATTCAGTATTTTAAGTCACTAAAATAAGTACGAACCAACCCTGATGTTGTCTTGTTAAAGCCTGATAAAAGGTCCGGCGTGGTTGTCAAGAACAAATGTGAATGTAAAGGTAAGACATTATGCATTCTCAGTGATGAAAGTAAATTTATGCCTGATGGTGAATTTGCAGGTATTAGCAAAGTAGAGGGAAGAATAAATCCAAACATAGTGAAGCTGCTACACTTCCAGCGTGTAGGAACGAAATTAGTGAAGGGTCTTTCTAGACTCCCTTACGGTGAGCGTTTAAAACGCCTAAATCTTTTCACCTTGTCGTATCGTAGGACACGAGGTGACCTTATACTGGCATTTCGTATCTTTAATTCTGATTTGGGTGATAATATGTCTTATCTTTTTGCTCCCTCTAGCACTAATAATCTCCGAGGTCATAGCAAGAATTTTCATAAACCACGATCTAATAAACTTAAAGTGGGGTCCCGTTTTTCTCATCGAGTAGTCAATGATTGTGACGCCTTACCCGAACAAGTGGTATCAGCCCCATCAGTGAATACTTTCAAGGAAAAGCTGGACCTTCACTGGAAAGCAATGTGTCTGGATTAATACAGGTTCACCAACCTACTATCCTTATTACTGAAGACATGAATATTATTGGTAGAGAGGAATTTAATTTCCTGGAACCTATTGGTTCTGAGTATGGTCATCTACATGGATTACGTAAAGTGCACAAGCCAAACATTTGTTTACGCCCAATTTTATCAGTGCGCCAATCACCTACACATAACCGAGCTAAATTACTGGATACTGTTGGAACACGTTTATATAAGTATTCTGTGAACGATTCTTTTGACTTGGTCGATCATTTATGTGATATTAATATCAAGAGAAAGACAATGTGTTCATTTGACGTGAATTCCCTGTTCACAAATATACCTCTGAAAACGACTATTGATATATTATGTGACCACACTTCTTTGAACAGCCTTGAAAAAATTACCTGTTCCTTTAAAAATTCTTAAAGATTTAGCACTATTATGTACTGACAACGTCCAGTTCATATTTGAAGGTGAATAGTTTTGCCAGATCGACTGGTTGCTATAGTTGGTCCATTAGATCATTAATAGCAGACGTGTTCATAACACATGTTGCAAATCTAGCTGAAGACCTAGTCGTAAACATGTCTGTTTATAAGAGATATGAATATGACACCTTAGTTATCTTTGAAAGAAAGGACGAAATGAATTGTTTATTGAGTAGACTTATTACTCTGCGAAATCACATCAGCCTTTGATGTGAAGAGGAGAAAAATGACCGACTTCTCTTCTTAGATATGCTAACAAGTAGACGAGAAGATGGTTCGAGCAGACGCTCCATCTTTCAAAAACCAACGTTGACGGGCCAATACCTTAGTCACAATAGTTACTGCCCAGTGCAATACAAATGAGGTTCGATGAGCGGTCTGTTTAATAGGATTAATCGTATTCGCACAAACGACGCTATCGATGACGACGTTCGGTTGCTAAACAAAACATT